GCTGCCCGCCCCGCAGAGGGAGAGAGGCCGACCAGCTCACGCAGGTACTAGCAGTGCTCAGGAGTCTCACCCATACCCATGGGGAGACCAGCCAGCAGGGGCCAAGGAGGGGCAAGCCCGCCCAGCAAGGCAGCGGGCGGGTGTCGTCTGGGAGGCAACCAAGGCCAAGGACGCTTGAGGTGAAGTGGGGCTCTTGTGTGCAGTGGCCGCTGGCTGCTACTGTCCAGCGAGGCCTGGGTCCTTCCCCGCGCAAGCCTGCCCTTCAAGGCTCCACTTTGGCCCAGTCAGTCACTCGAATCCCAGGGGCAGCTCCTCCCCCAGGGGACGGTCCCTCACTCCCCAAACTGCCTGCGGCCAGTCCAGCTGAGTTTTCCTTGATCCCAGGGCAGCCCTTTGCATTTGGGTGGTGGGGAAGAGAAAGGGCCAAGTTGCAAAACACACCGGCAACCTACTTGCAAGAACTTGTGCTCAAGGTGCCCGAGGTGTGTTCCCGTGGGGCTTTCCCAGGGGACGCGGAGGCCATGGGGAGGGATGGCCAGAAACCGGCCCTCTTGCTGCTTTGCTGTGTCTTGCTGGACTTCAGCGTAGAGGCTCGCTTTGTCCCAACACTGACCCAGGGAGCCCAGGCCTTGGACGCCGGGTGCTTTCAGTGCTGTTCGAGGTGGGGAGGAGGCCAACTCTCCCCCGAGGGAGGGCCAGAGATGCCCCTGGGTTCTCTCCCTCCCTCCCTGCCCTTGTCCTGATCTCATCTAGTACTTTAATGAATTAAAATTTTTTTCCCTTGGGGCTGGAATGATAGCACAGCGGGTAGGGTGTTTGCCTTGCACATGGCCGACCCGGGTTCGATTCCCATATTCCAGCATCCCATATGGTCCCCCGAGCACCGCCAGGGGTAATTCCTGAGTGCATGAGCCAGGAGTAACCCCTGTGCACCGCCGGTGTGACCCAAAAAGCCAAAAAAAATTTTTTTTCTTTGTGTATTTTTTCTTTTAATTTCATTGTTTGCAGACCCGGCGATGCTCAGAGGTTCCTCCAGGCTCTGCACTCACAGGAATCACTCCTGGCTGTGCTCAGGGGACCCTGTGAGATGCCAGGGACGGAACCTGGTTGTCCCACATGCAAGGCAAATGCCCTCCCCGCTGTACTATCGCTCCTGCCTCTTATCTAGTACTTTAAAATTGTAATTTTTTCTCCCCCTTCCCCTGACTACATCTTGCAGTGATGAGGAGAGCCAGGGGGGACTTGATGCTGGCCTGTGGATTGAAGGCATGTCGCATGCCTGCTGGGTCCACCCTCTGGGCCACTGGGCCATTCCCTGCCCTTGGGTGCTGTGTTGAGGTGCTTCACGCCCTGGGGTGGGACTGGGAGAGGCCAGAAACAGAGACAGAGAGAGAGAGAGACAGAGAGACAGAGACAGAGAGAGACAGAGAGGGAGAGAGAGAGAGGGAGAGACAGAGAGAGACGAAGAGAAAAAGAGGAAGAGGAAGACAGGGAGGAAGAGAGAGAAAGAGAAGAAGAGAAACTGAGAGAGAAGAGAGGAAGAGAAAAAGAGGAAGACAGAGTGTGTGTGTGGGGGGGGGGAGCGTGAACAGGGGCCGTGATTGGTTTTTAAACTGGCCATTAGGCGCCGTGGGCTACTGTCCTGTCCATGGTGGTCTCCAGCACCCCCGGAATGTCCACTTTCCTGCGCCAGTGTCCCGGGCCGCCCAGCCCCACAGGGATCTTCACACAAAACCTCAGACCGTTCTCTGAGCCACGGAAATGTTTCACTCAGCTGCTGGGCAGCACCCTCCAATGTCCTCCCGAGGGGGAACCCATGAAAACATGATTCCCAGGAGGCCTCCAGGCCAAGGGCTGCAGGTCAGGCCCAGGGCCGTGTCCTCCGGGTGCCGGGAGTGCAGTGTGTCCAGCATGTAGCGTGTAGGGAACACAGCATGTACCCAACGCGGACAGAAGCTTTCCCATTCACTGACATCTTTTATTGGGAGGGAGAGAGTAGGGACACTTGGAGTGTTTTCTGCCTCCACGTCCTGTGACCTTTGCTCTTGGCCCATATGATGAGTAACTGGACCCAGTCTCGGAGCTCTGCTCACTTGCTTTCCTGGAGAGGACCCAGCCAGCTGTGAATTCCACCCTCTGAAGGTCTCCTCAGGCTCCAGGCCGCTGGGTGCGGGGTCCCGGGCCAGATGGAATTCTCCAGAGATGGAGCGGTGGCCCCTGAGTGGACCGGGTTGTGGGCACGAGAGGTCAGAGGTGAGAAGTGACCTCAGTCCCTTCCACCGTGGCCACTGAGGGGTCCTCACGAAGGCCGGCTCTGGGGGACAGGCCCACGCACTCTGGTTTGGAGCTGGTCGTGTCTGCGGCCACTGTTTGGGAAGGCACCAGTGGGCATGAACCGAGCTGACCACAGCCCCAAGATGTGTTTAGCCAGATCTTGGCAAAGAAAATGGGCTCCCCCCTAAATCCAAGGGGGAAAGAACAAGAAGTAATGTGTGAACAGGCACCAGGGCTTCAATTCGATTCCTCCGCCCCTCTCGGAGAGCCTGGCAAACTACCAAGAGTATCTCGCCCGCGCAGCAAAGCCTGGCCAGCTACCCGTGGCGTATTTGATATGCCAAACACACTTAACAAGTCTCACAATGTTACTGGGCCCGCTCAAGCAAATCGATGAACAATGGGAGGACAGTGATATATATATATATATATATATATATATATATATATATATATATATATGTATATGTATTATTTTGGGGAAAGGTAAGGTTTGAGTTTATTTTTCCATGAAATATCAAGGGTCAAACACCTTAAGCATTAGGCTCTGGAGAGCTTACAGATGCCAGGGCCCCACGAATCGCACAGCCTGGGGCGTCTGCCCTTCTCCTGTTTTTGTTCTTTGCCTCCTGACGTCTGGGAGGCTGGAAGGTTCACATGGGGTGAGCAGGCCTGGGAGGACCAAGAACTCCAAAGTGGCCAGGCTGAGGCGCCCCGAGTTCTGTTGGCCTAGAGACACGGCAACGAAGCCCTCGGCCACCCTGGACACACCACGGGGTTGAATAACACGGGGAGGGGTAGAACCTCAGGTACCAAACCCAGATCCAAAAGAACCAAAGACTCGAGCACTGAGTGGAGCCACCGGAACTGTAACGTGCCTGTCAAGTTGCCGGGAGGGGTGGGTGGGAGAGAATCTCGGGAAACAGGCGGAGGGGGGGCTGACACTGGTGACGGGGTTGGAGTTGAAAGATTTTAGGCCTAAAACTTAACTATCAATGCCTTTGCAAAAAATCACAGTTCTTTAATTAAAAACAAAAAAACATCCCTATGCAGCTGTTAGAAAAGATGAAGTCATGACATTTACATACAAGTGATACTACATGGAAAGTATCATGCTAAGCGAAATGAGTCAGAAAGAGAGGGACAGAAGTAGACAGATTAAACAGGGGACTAACACCCAAGAATAGCCAAGATAAATACCAGAAGGTTCACTCCATGGCTTGGAGGCCAGTCGCACACTCTAGGGGTAAAGGCAGCTCAGATAGAGAAGGGAGCACCAAATAAAGGGTGTTGGGAGGATCCTCCCAGGATGGGAGAAGCATGCTGAAAGTAAACTATAAACCGAACATGACTGCCACTCAATGCCTCTCCTGCAAAACACAGGACCCAAAAGGACAGAGAGAGAACAAAAGGGAATGCCTTGCCACAGAGGCAGGGAGGGATGGGGGTGGGGGTGGGGGGTGGGAGGGATACTGGGATCCGTGGTGGTGGGAAATGGGCCCTGGTGGAGGGATGGGTATTTGATCATTGTATAACTGAAACCCAAGCACAAAATTTGCAAGTCTACAACTGTACCTCATGGTGGCTCACTAATAAAAATTAATAATAAATAAATAAAATATATTAGTGAATTAAAAAAAAACAACACCCCAAAGATGGACTCTCTCAGACACAGAGAAGGCTACCAGCGGGGACCAATGCTGTGCTCTCTCCACCCCTCACCGTGGCCCGGCTCACGCCACAGGGACTGTCCCCTGTGTGCTGACAGGATCACAGCCCCCGGCTCCTCCTGGCCCACAAACCCCGGCCACGCCCAAGCAGGGACACCCCAGGGCAGATGTTCCTGCTCCCCGGCCACACACACGCCCAGAGCTGAGTTGGGATACCCCAGAACAAATCGCAGGCTTGCTGCTGAGGGCCTGGGCCATGACCGATGAGATTCCAGATAACAACCCCACAGAAGAAATCTAATTATTAGCCCACCACAAATGACAGTGAGCAATGAAAAAAAAATACAAAACAAAACCCCCAGTCATTAGCGTGAGCCTGATGGAGTTATCTCCTGGCAGTTCTGTTCTGGACCCGGGCGCCCCTGCCCCCAGATTGTATTGTCTGTCTGGGCTTTCTCTCGGCAGCACAAGACAGATGTCAGCTGTCCTGAAACACTGTGTGGCTGGACCCGCATCTGAAACCCTGCACGTATCTGTCTGGGAAGCGAAACCCAGACAGACGATTCCAGGATGAACTGCAGGAGCGACCCTGCGTTTACTGACACCCCACCCCCCACCTCCCCGAACACGGCAGAAGCACGTTCCAACGACAGCGACATCCCAGCCAGCTCTGACGGTCATCTCGTCCCTGCACGCTTTACCTTTAGTTATTATTGTTATTAAATAACCCTTGACATTTATTTTGTTGGCGCGTTCTAATAAACACACACGCTCCCAAGAGAGCAAAGGAAAAACCCCAGCTCCGAATATTCTGTCTGTGTGAAGCCAATTAAGTCCCAGTCTCCAGGGCGCTGAGACCTGGGCTGCAGGCACCAACGGTTGCCGTGGCAACGCAATTGCTTCAGCATTTCTGACAGGGCCAGAAGCGACCGATGTGTCTTCACGGGGGGAGGGGGGAACGCCAGTGTATGTGGGACTCCCCACCCCCGGCCCTGGGTTTGGGGGCTCCATTGTATGAAATTCAGATGATGAGGCATGACAAAGGACACACAGCATTCCATACAGAATTTATTTTCCTCGGTGTTTGAGTTTATTCAATCATACAAATTCGAGTGGGGATTCCTGAATAAATCTTTTACTTCGTTTACCTTTGGCAGAAACAAAAGACCTCAAAAACATCGAGTAGCTTCTCAGTTGTCTAGTTGTGTTTGTCTCTTTTAAAATTCCGTCGCGTCTCCCTCTCTCCAGAGCAATACGCTTACACAGATGTGCTTGAAACGTTAACAGGTAATGGTTTGATTCACATTTATAGCTCATTTAGAGAATGATCATTTTAAAAGGACAGACTAAACAGGTTTCTTTTTTAAAAATATGATCTTCTTTTTGGTCATGTGAATAATTCATGTTCCGATTTCAAAAGTAGAAAATGTCCTAAAGTGCATCATATCATTTATTTATAATATAACTCCTGGAAATTCTATCAGTCTGCAATGTAAACAGTAGAGCAAAGAATACCAAACTATATTTTCACATACATTTTAAAGTGTAAGGTTATGTACCATCTTTTAAGTGTGTGGATTAAACCAGGGAACTTCATGCTTCTACATGTTTTTTTTTTTCTTTTTCTTGTTTTTGGTTTCGGGGCCACACCCAGTAGAGCTCATATATCACTCGTCGGGGTGGTGGTCAGCCCCATATGGGGCAGGGGGTCAGCCGTGACAAGGACACGCCCTACCCAACTGAACTATCTTTCCGGCCCCTATATGAATATATTTTTTAAAGGAAATTCAAAGATATTCTTTCCCTCCTTCTCCCTGCTTGGATGATTATGTTTTGAGAGAGTGTGATTGACCCATGTCAGCCAAGGAAAATGCTGCTCATAAATCCATCAGGCCCATTGCTCTAGACACCTCCATTCCCTTTATTGGGTCCAGGGGTGCCGGGGTCTGTGCTCGGGCCCCCCATGTGCAAGGCGAGTGCTCTCCTGAGGGCCAAGTCCTCAGCCACAGAACCCATTTTGGAAGCTAACCGCTGATGTCAAGTTTCACATTCTCTCTCTCTCTCTCTCTCTCTCTCTCTCTCTCTCTCTCTCTCTTTTTGCTCCTTTACTCAGGAGATGGAACAAATGGGACCTTTGGAGAAAAAAAAATTCTTAGAACATCTAGGGGGTCTCCCTGGTTCCTGTTCCTACAGCAACAGTATATGCAAGAGGTAGGGGCTACGAAGCCCTCTCTCTCACTGAGGGCTGGTGTGCAGACCCCACGCGGGAGCCCTCAGCACAAACTAGGACCAACCCGCTCTCAGTGTAGACAGAGAGGGCTGAAAAAGTAACAATCACAAAGCAGCATCCGCGCAAGGAAGAGAGGATGCCAAGTCCGAGATTCCCTGGTCCCTCCAAAATGTCTAATATAGACAGGTTTGTGACACAGTCTGAAAAAAATTTCAAATCACAACGGGCCACACACCGTTATTTTTTTCCCCCCTCTTTTGTCCGTGATCTTGGAAAAGGTGTGATTTAGATTCTGCCTCTGGCTAAGCTCTGAAAGCTACATTGACTCTTCAGTGAGGGGATTTTAGTGCAGCTTAAAAAATAAAAAGAAAAAAATCAACCCTGGTGAGTTCCCAGGAGGCTGAGAACACAGGCTCTTTCTGTCTTATGATCCCTTAGACTTAGGAGTTAAGCAAGACCCTGGAGGCTTGGCACACGCCATCACAAAACGGAGCCCCAAGCAGGCCATCCAAGCCTCGACGGATCATGACAAAAACTGAGACCGATGCTCACAGCCAACGTTCAGCCAAGAGTCCTCTGGGCTCTTCACCCTGCTGTCACCTGACAAACGCATAGGAACGGAACGATGTCTTCCTTTGTTCCACCTGTCTTCTGCCGACGATTCCTCTCCTAGTCAGGGATCCAATCCTTTGTCCACCGAGGAAGTCTGGGAACACGGCGTCAAATCGACGCTTTCCAGACTCTTCTGGGTAGATGCAGCCTCCAGCTACCTGAGAGCTAGCGGGGAAATAATTCACACTAGTCGGGAAAGGTCACAAGAACGGGAGAGGCAGCAAATAGGGCTCCAAGGGAGATTCCCGCTTGGCTGGGTCCAGAAGGAGCACGGACGTGCCCAGAGAGTTCGCTCTGCAGAATGAAATCCTGAGCTGATTTTGATCACAGTTTGACAGAGAACGGTCTCGCGTTTGTCAGTTACCGAGGAAGAACGGCCTCTGTTCTCTGCGGATGAATCTCGACGACACGGCTCATCACCACTGCGAGTCTTAGTGAAATTCCCACAACTATGTGAGTGTGTGTCTATCAGTGTGTGTGCGTGTCCATGCGTGGACACACACACACACACGCACACGCACACGCATGCATGCATGCATGCACGCTTGTACATGTGCAGGAATCTTGACTTTCCCTTATAAAATTCCTACCCAGGGCAGGTTGCTTCCTTCCCTCTAGGCGTTTCTAAGGCAGGTAACGGGAACTGAACCCAAAGGCCTGGAAGGCAGAAGGGGCACGGGACTCGGCAGGTCCAGAACCAAGCGGATCTTCTGGCTTCGGCAGAGCTGCTCTGGGCCCGCGGAGGCAGGGAGCAAATCCCCCCGACGCCTCAGGATGGGGCAGCCCCTCACAGGGACTTGGAATCGGTGTCTCTCTTGCTGATGAGAACCTCCAGGAGCCGGAGCTTGGCTTTGATGTGCTTGTATTCGTTGTACTCTTCAGCCATGGGGCTGCGGTCTTCCTTCTGAACATTCCTGGGGAAAACAAAAGAAAAAAGTGGGCTGAGGAACACTAGCCAGCTCTCTCTCACACAGTAATGCAGTTTCCAGCACACCACACTACGCATGCACAAACCAGACACCCACGAACTGTCCAAAAGCATCACCACCAACAGGTGGAACTTCCACAACCAAATAGGAAAGCACAGCAAATGTGTATGTGTGTGTGTGTGTGTGTGTGTGTGTGTATGTGTGTATGTGTGTATGTGTGTGTGTATTCTTTGGAGAATGATCATGTGAGAAACAGAACAAAATTCTGCAATCAATCAGCCCCTGGAATCTCTGCTGACAAGCACCGCATGATCTCAAAGCTGGAGCTGGTTCAGACCAGCCAGAAGGAGCCGCGCCAAGGAGGCCCAGGGTGAGACGTTCTCGTCTCCCCTCGAAGGATCTGCGAGACTGAGGAACAGAAGGGCCTTCTGCGGGTGGGCAGCAGTGGGCACCGGGGGCCTCTCGGGAGTAACTCTGCCCAGACAGAAGACTTCCTCATTTTTATATTACCCCTCTGCATTTCTGGTAAGCAACCTGCAGTTTTTCCAAAAGAGTTCTTCCTCCTCCTGATTAGAAAACTCGTCTTGGAATTCAGCAAACTGGCTCACAAGCTCCCAGTAAGTCTGGCCCATGTCCTGAGTAAGGTTTGGTGCATACTTTTTATAGGCACAAATATTAAATGGGTGGGTAGCACAGCTCAAGCGATGTGCCGGGTATCCTGTGGTCAGCGTCTCTATGACCCTCTGGAGAACTTTCAGAAGTGGTTCCTGACACTTCACAGGTGACAGTGGGATGGGAAGTCAGGCTCTGTCTCCTGAGCGCTGAATCAGGCCTGCTTCCTGCTTATTGAAGCACGAGTCTGAGAGGACTGGAGAGGCAGCCCAGCTTCTCGGGTGCTTGCCGTGTATGTGACTGGCTGGGTTCAGATCCCTGGTACCCCGAATGGTCCCGCAAGCCCGCCAGGAGTGATCCCTGAGTGCAAAGCCAGCACTAAGCCCTGAACACAGCTCGGTGTGGCCCCCCGACTAAAATTAACCCAAACAAAACATGAGATATGTGGGGAAGGGCAGAATCACAATAATGCAGTTTCCAGCACAGCACACTACGCACGCACAAACCAGACACGCACGGACTGTCCGAAAGCATCACCACTAACAGGTGTAACTTCCACAACCAAATAGGAAAGCACAGCAAATGTGTTTGTGTGTGTGTGTGTGTGTGTGTGTGTGTCCAACCCATACAGCAACAGCAACAACAACAAAGAGAAGGGGAGAAAAAAAAATTAATCACTCATCTTTATTCTAGCACAAACCTGATTTTAGGTACATCATAACTATAAAACAAACAGCATAGTATTTATTCTGTGTTGATTTATATCTTAGAACTGATTTCAGCCCTCTGATCCTAATGTTCATAAGGTGTAAGCTCCACACAAGGTATGAAAGGGGTGCCCAGGGGCCCGAACAATATAGCAGGTAGAGCATTTGCCTTGAACGTGGCCGACCTGGGTTCGATCTCCGGCATCCCATATGGTCCCCCAAGCACTGCCAGGAGCAATTCCTGAGCAAAGAGCCAGGAGGAACCCCTGAGCATTGCTGGGTATGACCCAAAAAGCCAAAAAATAAAATTAAAAAAGAAAGTAAAAAAGAAAGAAAGGGGGTGCGTACCAGCAACTCGAAAATATTAAGATACAAAAAAAAAAGAAAAAAATTTGGGGAAGGGGATAGCATGAGACTGATGAGATAAACCAAAACTGTGCTTAGAAAAAGAAATCGAGGAAAAAATGATCGAACAAAAAATTAATTCTGATTTATCTTTGAGTATAATTATTACTCAAAGGTAAATTCTTTTATCTGCTCATCTGTATTTCCTAAATGTCCTAAATGCATAGAAAATGGACAGTAACTATTTATAGAAAAGGTCGGAATCTTAAGAACAGCCTTATAGCACAGATGTAGATTCAAAGCAGATATACATAAAATTATACAATAACTGAAATTTCTCAAGCGCACTTTAAAAAAAAAATGGGGGGTCACATCTGGCGATGATCAGGGCACTATCTGGGATGTCGGATTGAACCCGGGTCTGCTGCATGCAAGGCAAATGTCTAACCCGTCCAGTGCGCTTTAAATACCGAGGTTAATTTTCACGGTGCTTTATTTATGTTTGAAAAGTATAAAAGGGGGCTTGCAGAGATGCTATGTTTATGTTGCCAAAACAATATTAATTGAAATAAAACTAACTGGGGCTGGACAGAGAGTACAGCAGGTAGGGCGTTTGCCTTGCATGCAGCCGATCTGGGTTTGATCCTGGGCATCCCATATGGTCCTTCGAGCACCGCCAGGAGTAAATTTGAGTAACCAGTGACCAGTAAATCTGAGCCAGCAGTAACCCCTGGGCATAGCTGGGTGTGACCCAAAAAAGCCAATTTTAAAAAAGAAATAAAATTAATTTTAGTTAAGTTAATAAAACCTAACTCCAGGACAAGAAAGGCAAATCCACTGCCTGCAGCTTCCCTCTACCTGGCAATGGTAACACCCGTGTGCAGCCAGGTGACAGGGAGAACTCTCTGGGGTCTACTGGCTACGAAGGGACTGACATGTTTGCAGAGTCACCAGGGAAAGGATCCATGAACCAGGTAGGCCCATGCTTCCTGTATCTTTTTTTTTTCTTTTTGGGTCACACCTGGCGATGCTCAGGGGTTCCTCCTGGCTCTGCACTCAGGAATCACGCCTGGCGGTGCTCGGGGGACCTTATGGGATGCTGGGAATCGAACCCGGGTCGGCCGCGTGCAAGGCAAAACACCCTACTCGCTGTGCTGTCGCTCCAGCCCTGCTTTCCGTATCTTTTTCATTCAAATTTGACGACTTATATTTTCTGTTTTGTTCTGGCTTTTGGGGGCCACACCCCACGGTGCTCGGGGATCACTCCCGGTGGTGCTCAGGGACCAGAGGTGGTACAGGGATGGAGCAGCTTGGCTGGGGGCAAGGCCAGCACCCTACCTGCGGCACTCCTGCTCGGGCCCAACAACTATTAATTTTGCTTTTAAACTGAAAAGCAAAAGTTCCTTTCTCTTTCTTTCGTTTTTTGGGGGGGTGGGATGGGGTGTAGTGGGGTGGCGGTTTGGAGCCACGCCTGGCAGTGCTCACGCCCAATTTCTGGTTCTCTCTATGCTCAAGGTTCACTCCTGGTGATGCTTGGGGAGTCCTGTCTTTATTTCTGCTTCTGTGTTTTGTTTGTGTGAGGGCCACACCCAGCTGTGCTCAGGGATCACTCCGGGAAGTGCATGGGGACCATGTGGGGTTGTTGAACCTGGGTCAGCAAGGCAAGCATCTTCCTCACTCTATTATCTCCCCAGTTCTGCTTTTTTTTAAAACTCTCTCTGTCTCTCTGTCTCTCTCTCTCTCTTCCCCACTCCTACCCTTCCCCTCTGGAAACAGCTTCAAGCCATTCAGGTGACTTTATAAAGGCATCTGAGTGTGCAGGGGTCCTGAATACCATCCAGGGAGCATCTCCTCCTGAAGACCCACACAGAGCTCAGCGGCTGGGGCAACTCATGGTCCAGGTACCACCCGGGTCAAGAGGACCCGCTGAGCGGGCAGCGGTCAGCTCCCACTGGAAACAAGGCAGAGGGGCAAAAGGGAAAATTAAAAAAAAAATCCCCATTACCTGCCGTGCTGCCGGAAAAAACTGTCTTCAAAATCACGTAGTTTCTTTCGAATCCTCTTTTTTTCTTCTCTCATTTCCTGAAGGTGTTCCAAGAGTTCTGGTCTAAAGAGGACAAGGGGGAAAAAAAAGGGAAGGAGATGGGAATTACTGTCAGCAGGATGTGCACCTAGGCTGGGGGATGTGGAAAAGGCAAATCTATTGCCTATGGCTATTCCAATCGCCTGTGGGAAAGGGGGAAGCACCAGAGGGCAACTCGTGCTGGGCGGGCTACAAGCCAGCAGGCAGAAATAGATGTTTTCTATCCCTGTAGAGCAGCGGCTGCAGCGCTGGGACTTCTGATTGGTTAAGCGTGCAGATGCCACTTACAGACGCCTTCTGATTGGTTAAGAGCACAGATGCCAGTTACAGACGCCTTCTGATTGGTTAAGAGCACAGAAGCGCCTCCCGAATGATACAGGGTGGATCATATCCCCGAAACGGAGGCAAAGTGGGAAAAAAAAAATTCTGTTTTCTCAACATAGAATCATCACAATTAAGCTACATGTGTTTCATAGGCTAATTTGTTTAATATATGAAGGCCAAAACAGTCTTAAGAACTTGTTTTGTTTTTCGGCCACACCCGGTGGTGCTCAGGGCTTATTTGGTCGGTGCTTAGGGAATCACTCTGGCTGTGCTCAGGGGACCACATGGGGACCAATCCAGGGATCAATCATCGATCAGCTGTATCAAGGCAGACACCCCACCCACTGCACTATGACTCCAGTCCCTGTAAGGAAGCGATTTTCCCCTAAATTGCTCCACTCCTAACACCAACTCGGACATACATCGGAGCAGCGTGGAGGTTTGAAAGCCCAGTGTCCTGGCTGCATCTTGGTGGCAGTTTGTCATCCATTGGGGAAATAAATCCATCAGCATCATCTTCAAATTGGTCCAAAAAGCAGCGTGCTCCAAACTCAGTTTTCAGAGTGATCATGAAGTCTGGTCTTGCGGTGCTATCATCCTCGGAAGCCTCCTCTTCCTCCTGGTGAGAAAAACAGCTCAATAACCCATGGCTTTCGGAGGCTCTTTTGTGCCGAATTCTACTGGGCAACCACTTAATTCTCCTCTGCCACCTCGTTTGCCTTCCACTTGCGGCTAGACAAGACTGTATGTTATGGCCCTAGGATTGGCTTGAGCCACCCCACAGTACACAGACTCAAAACGAGGATAGGGGCTGGAGTGATAGCACAGCAGGGAGGGCGTTTGCCCGGCACGCGGCTGACCCGGGTTTGTTCCTCATCATCCCATATGGTCCCCCAAGCACAGCCAAGAGTAATTCCTGAGTGCAAAGCCAGGAGTAACCCCTGAGCATCACCGGGTGTGACCCAAGAAAGAAAAACAAAAAGAAAAGACCAAAAACCCCAGGATAGACTCCAGAACTGCAATACACATCCCAGGGGATCACAGTTCCTGCTCGGGAAGGCTGCAGGAAGAGAGGAACAACCATGATAATTCCAGGGCCGGAGAGGAGTAGTAGAAAGGTGGGTAGGGCAGCTGCCTTCATCGAAGCTGATCTGAGTTCGATCCCTGGCAGCCCACATGGTCCAGTTCCCTGAGCCAGGACTGATTCCTGAGCGCAGAGCCAGAAATAAGTCCTGAGCACCACTGGGAATAACCTCCAATCAGAAGCAAAAACATTACAATTCTTTCCCTAAGTAAAATAAAGGCAGACTCGAACAATTCCCAGCTCAGTGTTACTGCTCTCAGGTTCTATTACTTGCGTTTTCAGAAAAACATTTCTTAATTAACCTAGGGGCATTTTCAGAAACGAAACAATAAAAAATTTTGACCTAAGAGTTTAGAAAAAAAGGTATAAACCATTTTGTGGCTGGTTGATGCAGCAGATTTTCAGCAATTTTTAAAGAGCTCAAAACAGTTATCTTCCCATGGATGGAATTATGACACTCCTAAGCTGGTTTCAAGGAGCTTCCAGGGGCCCTGATTACTTTTCACCATCTCAGGTTCTAAGGAAAGTAAGATATTCTGTCTCTCTTGATGATATATTTTAATTAGGTTTTCCTAGTGTCAATTTAAAGTGAAGGGAAAACTATGCAAATCTAAGAAAAAATAATAGTAGAGTCTTAAATATTTTAAGAAAAAATTGAAATGTATAGTTAGGCTTGAAGAGAACATACCAATATTTTGTTTTTTAAAAAAATGAAACACTGGTTAAAATGTTAGGTACAACTCCAGTCACAAAAGGAACTATAAAATCAGATTTTCATGGTAAACTAAGAAATTTCAGGTAGCAAACCAGACTCAGTTATCGTGGGTCCAACAGAAATATATGCACGGCATGCGGTGAACTTTTCTTAACATAAAGTTTGGTCTGTTTAATAATATTCATTCTCAGAGACACAGCAACATTCTCAGATGACACCACAGCACTGGAGATCTCTCTGGGTCCCACACTGAGCCAATATCACCAGGGCCAGGAGAGCCAGAAGTAAGTCCTGAGCACCCCAGACAGAGCAGGTGCAGTCTCCCCGCCTACTCCAGATGGAATCCTGACATCCAAGAGCTCCCACAAGCAAGGTCCAGGTATGCGGGTACCAGGACTAAATATCCAGGCTGCATGGCTACAGAGGACCCAGGCTGTTCCTCCCTGGCTCCCTGACCACTTGTTGGCCTGGCTGTCACCTGCACAATGTGCCTCTGGGTGCCATCTTAGCACACCAATAGCTCTCGTCCAGAGAGGTGCAACTGAATCCCAAAATGGATCAGTGCCCTCCAGAATGTCTCTGGAACGCAACCATTTACAATGCAGGATTCCAGAAGTGCATGGCTGCTTTGCGGTCACATAAACTCTCATGACATTCAAAATGAACAATGGAAAATAAATTATCTAGTGTCTGCCCCTGGCAGGTGAGCTTGAATGGTGGTGGGAAAATTCGGGCAAAACATAATGCCCAAAAGTAGAAAGAGAGCATTGGGGAAATTGTCTGCCATAGAGGCAGGGGGCACCAGTAACGTTTCCGTTGTGAGACTTGTTACTGTGTTTGGCATATCGAATACAGCACAGGGAGCTTGCCAGGCTCTGCCGTGCTGGTGGGATACTCTCGGTAGCTTGCCAGGGTCTCCAAGAGGAACAGAGGAATCGAACCTGGGTCGGCCGTGTGCAAGGCAAACGCCCTACCAGCTGTGCTATTGCTAGAGCCCAGCAAATCAATGAACAACCGGAGGACAGTGCTATAGAGGCAGGGGGAGAACTGGGATTGGGGGGGGGCATACTGGGGACAGTGGTGGTGAAGAATGTGCACTGGTGGAGGGATGGGTGTTCCATCATTGCATGACTGAAACTCAAAACATAAAAGCTTGGTAACTGTGTCTCATGGTAATTCAATAAAATTTAAAAGAAAAAAAATAGTACTCATTCTGAAGAGAAATAATGCGAGTAAATAAACAGCCCTCCCTGCCATTAGACAACAACGACAGCAAAAGTACTGTCAGGAAGGAATGAAGGGAACATGGGCAAGAATGAGGCCGCTCTTCCAGATTTTTCTACCGGGGCCTCCTAACTGCCACGTTCTTGCCGGGTCTGCGGGGAGTGAGCGCTTCTTTATGAATGTTCTCAGTGTAAATGATTAAACACAGTTTAAAGTCTAGAGACTACAATTGACTTTTGAATGAATAATTGAAACGTTTCTTTTTTTGTAAGAGGAACAGAAAAATTCTAACCTCTGGGGTTTTCAGCCAAAGGAGCCGAGCCTGTGTGTGCAGAGCCTGTGTGTGTCGAGAAAGCCTCTGTGTGTGTGTGTGTGTGTGTGTGCGGAGCCTGTGTGTACCAAGCCTGTGTGTGTGTGTGTGTGTGGAGCCTGTGTGTGTGGAGCGTGTGTGTGTGTGTGTGTGTGTGTGTGTGTGTGTGGGGAGCCTGTGTGTGTGGAGCCTGTGTGTGTGTGTGTGTGTGTGTGTGTGTGTGGAGCCTGTGTGTGCGGAGCCTGTGTGTGCCGGGCCTGTGTGTGTTGAGCCTGTGTGTGTTGAGCCTGTGTGTGCCAAGCCTGTGTGTGTGTGTGGAGCCTGTGTGTGCCAAGCCTGTGTGTGTGTGCGAAGCCTGTGTGTGTGTGCAGAGCCTGTGTGTGTGTTGAGCCTGTGTGTGCCGAGCCTGTGTGTGTGTGTGTGTGTGTGTGTGTGTGTGTGGAGTCTGTGTGTGTGGAGCCTGTGTGTGTGGAGCCTGTGTGTGTGGAGCCTGTGTGTGCCAAGCCTGTGTGTGTGTGTGTGTGTGTGTGTGTGTGTGGAGCCTGTGTGTGTGGAGCCTGTGTGTGTGGAGCCTGTGTGTGCCGAGCCTGTGTGTGCCGAGCCTGTGTGTGTGTGTGTGTGTGTGTGTGTGTGTAGCCTGTGTGTGCAGAGCCTGTGTGTGCGGAGCCGGCCCACGCTGGCGCTGAGCGGAGGGAGGGGGAGCGAGCGCGGGCCCTTCCCAGCCAGAAGCCCTGCGGGAGAGGCCTCCTGCCCGAGTACTGGGCGCTGAGTGAGTGTCTGCAAGGCGGCCGAGCAATTCAGCCCTAACACAATAACCGAGGGAGTGCAGAAGGCCCAGGCAGACCATAAATCCAGCTACAAAGGAGAAGCTGGCCTTAATGAAGTCAGCGTCTCGGCAGAAGCAATTCCAGTCCCAGAAAACAGAACATTATAAACACTGTCTTGTCCACAAAAGAGTTCTTAGTGAGGCACGGGGGCAAACGAGAAGGAGGGAACTGCAGGCTCACAGGATGCAGCTGCCGGGTTGCTGAGGGTGCCAGCTAGCCAGACTCTGGGTCAAACAAACATGCGGGAGTCGCTTGGGCCAAGGCCAGCTGTTGTCGGTCCCTGTCCTGGCCTGCTGGACTCGGGGCTGCATCTGGGGGTGGAGCGGTCGGTGCTGGGGACTGAACCCGGGGCCTCCCTCACGCGGGCTCTGTGAGCGGAGCCTTAGCTCAGCCCCTGAGTGTCTGTCAGTCTGGTGTGAGATGGAGCAGGGCCACAGAGAACTGCCAGGGGGCAGCAGGAGGAGGAACCTTTGGAGACAGCCTGGGTGGGGACCGTGAACATGTGATGTGCGTCGGGCTGAGTCTCAACCATCCCAGAGGGCGATGCAGCCCAGGGTGAAGGGGGTTATGGCCATCCATCAATCTCACCAGTTTAATAGCCTCCAACTGTGATGCTTTAGTTAGGAAGCTCACACCTTCCAAAATGACAGATTTTACAATGACATTGCATTTAATTTAATTTATTCGTTTTGCTTTTGGGATCACACCCAGCGATGCTCAGGGGTTATTCCTGGCTCTGCACTCAAGAATTACTCCTGGTGGTGCTCGGGGGATCCTATGGGATGCCGGGGATTGAACCCAGGTCGGCCGCGTACAAGGCAAATGCTCTACCCGTTGTACTGTCGCTCCAGCCCCTGGCATTGTATTTTAGCATAAAAAGCGATGGCTGGGGCTAGAGAAACAATACAGTGAGTGGGGAAGGCCTTTGACTTGCACTTGACCGACCCAGAATTGGCCCTAAGTACCCCATAAGGTACCTGAGCTCCGCCCAGGCGATTCCTGAGATTCCTGAGTGCGGAGTTAGGAGTAAGCCCTGAGTACGGCAGGTGTGACCCAAAACAAAACACAAATGAAAAGACCAGATTTCTCTAGTGTATGTTTTCAGCTGTTATTGAAACTTCTCTCTTGTCAGGAGAGAACGGACGCTCCCCACTGCCGTTCATGCTTAAAGACCGAACGCCCTCCTCGGAACAGTGTCCCTGTTCTGATGAGTTTTAGGGGACACTATCTGGGGGTGGCCGGAACACACCCGGTGGTACTCAGGGAACCTGACGCGTTGCTGGGGCACCTGCATGCAGGTAAGAGCCCACCCCTTTGCCATCTCTCGGGCCCTTCCGGCAGGTAACCTCACCTGAGTTGGGAAAGTGGACACGCTGATTTCTAGGATTTGGGGGGTTGGCAGAACCCGGACTTCAGAACTTGAGCTGGCTCTATTTTCCATAACTCCCCAAAAGTATTTCCAACGAAGGATGGTTTTTTTTTTTTGTAGAAACCACTTGGATCTAATCTTCTTATTTGTACCCACACGGCTTTCTAAATTGTCTCCCAACTGCCAAGAGTCGGTACAACAATCCCAAACTTGCTAACCATCCCGGCCAACTGGAACAAAATGAACCAAAAGGCAACAGTATTGACCAAGCCAATGTCATCATTGCAAAAACGCTCTGCGGTTCTGACCAGCAGCTGGCCCCGCAGAAGCAGAGGCCAAAACACTCTCATGGAAAAACGAACGAAGCTCTGGGACCAGACTGGGGAGAGCGTTCCCTTCTTTGCTTTTTTGCTCACTGCTTTTCTGGGGGGGTGGCAGAGCTGAGAACAGCAAGGGGCTCTCAGCTTGGGTTCAGGGGTCATTCCGGAGCCTGGAGTTCCCACATCCCAGGCACGTACGCCAGTCCTTTGAGAGCGTTCCCCGCTCCTAGTGCCCTCTTAAGAAAGGCATCTTTGGTGTAGCTTCCATCCGTTAATGAGGCAATCGAGAAGGTCAGATTTTGAACGTGTTAAAGGACACATTAAGTCAAGTAACAACTCTATCACATACTTCTAAGAGAAATGTGTTAATTTGACACTCACGATTCCTCACATTTCTTCAATTACAGTGATTTAATTATTGCGTATAACAGCCAGACATAACTGCTCTTCTTTCCACAACACCATCTTGCAAGAAAACAGCTGATTTTTACTCTGAAAATAGGATACTGGCATAACTCTTATGTCGAGAGTACTTTTCTAAAGCAAGTTCTAGCTAAAATAACACGATTAACAAGACAAATGATTGCCTAATACCTTAAAATTTGGCATATGAGGTGTTTTTTTTTTTTTTTAGCTGAGAGATAAGGAAAGGCACAAATAAATAATCAGACTTTTAGCCCCCGGTCTCTTACTAAAGTTAAAAATAACAAGAACCAAGCAGGAAAATGAGAAATTCTGGCCATGACCCCCGGGGGGCGGTCCCCGATTTCTGAAATGAACATTCCTTACTGCGTTAGGTAAGCGACCCTGACAGGCGAGAGAACAACTAAGACTATTTCTATTTACTTTGTGTATTTTAGTGCTCAGGGGCGATTCCTGGCTCTGTGCTGAGGAGTGAGTCCTGTGGTGCTGCTGAGGACAGGTGCAGAGAACTGAACCGGGTCAGCTGTGCTCTAACCCCTAGACTATCTCTCTGGCCCCAGCAAGTGAATCTCTTAAAACTCACTTTTTTGCTGTTGTTATTCTTATATTTTTGTAATTGAATCACCATGAGATACAGTTACAAAGCTTTCATGATTGAGTTTCAGTCACACAATGATCGAACACCCATCCCTCTACCAGTGCACATTCCCCACCACCAATGTCCCCAGTATACGCCCCCCATCCCAGCCCTTCCCCTGCCTCTATGGCAGAGAATATTCCCCATACTCTCTCTCTCTCTCTCTCTCTCTCTCTCTACTTTGGGGCATTATGGGTTGCAATACAGATGCTGACAGGTTATCACGTTTGGTCCGTTATCTACTTTCAGCACACACCTCCCACCCCGAGCGATCCGTCCAGCCATCGCTGACTTAGTGACTCCTTCTCCATCCTAGCCGCCTTCTCCCCCAGCTCATGAGGCAGGCTGTCAACCAAAGAGCAATCTTCCTGGCCCTTGTCTCTACTGTCCTTGGGTGTTAATCTCATACTATGTTATTTTATATCCTACAAATGAAAACTCACTTTTTGCTGTAGGTTTTACCCACCCCTTTGGCATTTAACTATTTAAGATTGATTCTTAAGAGAAAGAAAGAAAGAAAGGAAGGAAGGAAGAAAGAAAGAAAGAAAAAGGAATTTTACTGTATTCTTTTTTCACTATGTTAAAAAGTGGAATCTTCGTGAATCACAAAGTTACAAAGATATCTGTGATTTAGTGTCAGGACTACATTGTTCCAACACCAATCCCTGCACCAGTGCCCACTCCCCTTCCTCAATGTCCCCAGTTTCCCCCCACCCCCCAGGTACTCTTCCCTCCCCCACAGTCCTCGTGTTCCCTTCCCTAACTTACCCCCTCACCCCTGCGCCAGTGCCGACCTTCCTACCAGTTCTCCTGCTCTTCATTTTCTTGTCTCTGGGCATTTGATATTCCCCTACAAAGCACCTTTGCATCCCACACATGAAAGCGACCATTCTGAGTAGTTCCTCTCCCTCTGACTATTCCACTCAGCATGCTACTCTCCAGAAAAAAAAAAAAGGATTGTTTTTGATTTTTTTCATCACTATTTCTCCTCCTAGCCAAAGGGGCCTCGGACTATCGGATTATCTGCAGAGTCCTTGATGATGATGGAGCGAAGGGGTCCTGCGCTAGGCCAGAGAGTCTCACACTGCCCTTCTTATTGGATCACCTGGAACGTCTTTAGAACGTCTCAAGTCTTTCTGGGCTGGAGCGATAGCACAGCGGGTAGGGCACATTTGCCTTGCATGTGGCCGACACGGCCGACCTGAGTTCAATTCCTCTGCCCCTTTCGCCCAAACGGCAAAGCCTGGCAAGCTACCCATGACATATTCGAGATGCCAAACACAGTAACAACAAGTCTCACAATGTTACTGGGCCCGCTCGAGCAAATCGATGAACAACGGGAGGAAAGTGACAGTGACGAGTCATTGTAACACTTCTAACGACATGGTTGAGGGCCGGACCCCAGTCACCACGACAGCATCTGATCGTCTCTGAGGTTCCTGGGTTGTTAAAGTTTGCTCAGAGGACCCCAGTGAGGCCGGGAGGACCCTTGTACGGGCAGCCACTCAGGAGCAAGAACACGGGGTGCATTCACGGGAGTGCAGGGGAGAGGAGGGAGAGTCCTAGCAAGGGAGAGGGTGGGGAAGAATGATTTCTCTGGGTCCCGAATACACTGTCTTTGTCAGTAGATGAGCCCTGGGGTGGGGGGGACCGAGGCCACACCCTGCAGTGCTCGGGGACCGGCCAGGATTCAAACCGGCTTGGTTGCATGCACGGCAAGTGGCCTGATCTCTATTTTACTGCTCTCTCTAGCCCCGTGAACAAGTGTTTTTTTTTTTCCCCTAAAAAGAAACCTCATGAGTTAATTTAACAAAACTAGGAAGCAGTCAAAACCCAATTCCCAGCTGGCGAAGACAAAACAAATCCAAATTTTTGTTTTTCAATGTGAAACAAAGGAAGAAGCAATAAACAAAAGATTCGTGCTTTCCTTGAAAGCAAAAGAAAAGCTAACACAACAGTAAGAGGCAAAGCCAGTTGGGGACGGTTAGGAAGGAAAAAAAAACAGTTCTAGGACAACAGCAGAAGTGTCTGCAGATTTGGGGAGCGTTCTGAGAAGGTGGGGGGCGCAGAGTGACGGTAAGAACAGTGGGTGGGGCATCTGCCTTGCATGTGGCTGCCTGGGTTCCATCCCCGACTCCCCCCTCCATCAAGAATAACCCATGAGCGCGGCTGGCTGTTACCCAAACCCAACCCCAAACCCCAAATCAACAAGGAAGTTTCCCCGGGAGGGCGAGGCCACCCCCTGCATTTCCGGGTCTGAGGAAATGGTCTTACCTTGATCTCCTTGAAGAAGGAGGCGGTCTCGCCCTCGATGATGGGCTGCAGCAAGGGGCTTCTCCGCTTGGTGGAGGGAGAACCCTGCGGTGGGCGACCGGGAACAAGCAGGTGAGACCATGAGCCCCTCCCAGATTCCACCCGCCCCGGAACCTCTAACCCTAACCCCTAACCTGAAACCCTAACCTGAAGACGAACCCGAACCCTAACCCATACCCTACGCTAACCCTAACCCTAACCCTAACCCTAACCTGAACCTTAACCCTAACCCCTAATACCTAACCCGAACTCATGACCTGAACCCGAACTTGAATCCTTACCTTACACTAACCCTAACCCCTAATCCGAACCCAAAACCCAAACCCGAACCATTACCCTACCTAACCTATTAACCATAACACCTAACTGTGACTCTAACCCTAACCCCTAACCCTGACCCTTATCCTAACCCGAACCCTAACCTGAACCCTTCCTCCCTAACCCAAACCCTAACCTGAACCCTTCCTCCCGAACCCAAACCTGAACCCTAACCCCTAACCTTAACCCAAACACAAAACACAAACCATTACCAGACCTTAACCCTAACCCCTAACCCTAACCCTAACCCTAACCCTTACCCTAACCCCTAACCCTAACCCTTACCCTAACCCAAACCTGAACCCGAACTCTAACCCTAACTCCAACCCAACCCTAACCCGAACCCTAACCCTAACACTGTCCTCTTCCGAGTTCCACCTCCCCCAGGGTTCACAGTCAAGTCAAGGAGGTGACCCGAGACCCAGGGCATCAGGGACTGAGGGCCGCGTCCTGCCCAGCTTCCCTCCCCTCAGGCCCCGCAGCTTCCGGAAACCAAGCCAGGTATGGACCCCTCAGCCGCACAGAGACACCCTGCTGCTGTTCATGCCTGTTCATGCATCCTGGGGCTGGAGAAATTGGGACGGGGGAGGCCCTCGGCGTGCATGTGTGTGGCTGCACCAGGTCCCATCCCTGCCCGACGCGGGATCTCCCGAGCTCTCCCAGAGTGATCCCTGAGTGCAGAGCCACGAGAAATCTGTGAGCATCGCCGGGTATGACCCCAAAACAAAACAAAAATAAATAAATAAATAAAGAAAGAAAGAAAGAAAGAAAGAAAGAAAGCAAGCAAGCATCGAGCGAGACCGCGATCAGCCAGGCGCACGGAAGGACACTCACGATGATGGGGACGGAGTTGACACGGGACAGGATCTGCTTGACCAGCCGGTACCGGTCATACAGTGGCTTCATCACCTGACGTTCATTCTTGGTCACCTGGAAGGCAGCAGAAAGAGAACTGAGCCACCGGCCGTAGGGGCATGCTCGGCGTTGGGAGGGGTCACGCAGACGGTCCAGTGACATCACCATTCTCTCGAGACCGCAGTCAGTGTCAAAGGAATCCACCAAACACATGCTAAGCTGCAGCTCACGGGCTGCGGGCTGCGTCTGCCACAGTCATCCCCCCCTCTCCCACCCGCTGTCTGGGCCTCCAGCAAGCTCCTCGGCCAAAGGATTCTCAGACAGGGGCTGGTCCCCAAGGTAAGGTGGAAGAAAGCCCGTGGTTTTACTACTACAGACCTGAGAATCGAGTTTTTAAAACATCTCTCTCTTTCTTTCTCTTTCCATCAAATTGTATTTTTAAGGGCAGTTTCTGGCAAATAACAGGTGCTTAAGGAACATCCACCAACATACTGCCCGGGCTGATTTGGAATTGTTATCTAGCATGGATCACAACTGCTTAAAGAATGGATTCTGGCCACCTCCAGTTCATCACAGCTCTGGTGCACAAGCCACAACAGGGAGGCCATGGAGATGCTCATTGGCACTTACAGGGATGAAAAGATGGGGTCTGGTCTGCACTCCAAGGGAACATTATTCAGCCAAGACAAAGGAGAACGTGCTGCCGATGTAAGCAACATGGCCGAGCCGTGGGCTCATCCTGCCAAGTGAGATGAGTCAAACAACGCTAAGAACTGTGTGCTCCTCCTCCCATGAGGGTTCCCAAGAGGAGGCAAACCACTCAAAACAAACAAACATACAAACAAACAAAACCACACACACACAACATAACCACGGAATACTACGCAGCTTTGAGAGAGAAACAGCATGCCATTTGCCACCGCGTGGCTGAAACCAGGGCGATCGTGCCGAGTGAAGTCGGTCAGCCGGGGCAAGCTAGATCCAGAGCGATCCCTCTCATACGGGACTCAAAGATAACCGCAAGGGAGCGGCAAAGGGCTGAGACAGCCTGACACAGGAGAACTGATCCACACCACTGAGTCTGTGTGTGGGGGTGGGGCCCCTGGGGGAGGGAGCTGGGCTCCTCCGTGATAGGTGTGGTGTGTGATAGGTGGTATATTGTGTGTAGGAAACATCACCAACAGTTTTGTCAACCTCAGAGCCTCAACTGATGAAAAAGTCAAAAATAAGAAACCACGTCCAACAGTGGTTCCATATAGAAGCTAGGGGTCCCGGGGGGCGGATGGGTCGTGGTGCTTAAGTGTACACCTTTGGGGGCTGGAGCGATAGCACAGCCGGGAGGGCGTTTGCCTTGCACGTGGCCGACCTGGGTTCGATTCCCAGCATCCCATAGGGTCCCCTGAGCACCACCGGGAGTGATTCCTGAGTGCAAAAGCCAGGAGTAATCCCTGAGCATCGCCGGGTGTGACCCAAAAAGAAAAAAAAAAAGAAAGTGTACACATTTGTAATGAATACTGAAGTAGAGAGAGTTGGGAGTAGTGACACTGTGAGCAGTGGACGTGGAAAGCAGGGGGACAACAGTGACCACAGTGTATCACGCATCCAAGCAACCCTTCACACAGCTACAGCGTCTCTGGATACGCCAAGTTCATCAAATCGGGAAGAGCAAAATAAAGGCGGGACCCCAGGGCGGCGGCAGGAACGAACCTGCCCCTCCACCTCCGCAGCTAGCCCCTGGGCCTTCCACCAGCTCTCGCTGTCGGGCCTCTGCCTCCTCCCAGGCCAGAGATGCAAGGGCCCTGGGGTTGAAGTTGGCTGCTCTTTTGCACCAGAACACACCGAGCGAGCCCAGATCTGGGGACTTTCGGCACCTACGTCTCCAGAAACGGGGGTTTGGAGACACGCTGAACGTGGGCGAGGGGTGCCCAGGCCTGTCTTCTGAGAGCACCGCCCGTGGACTGACAAGCCCAGGTCCACACTGCAGGCCAGGACCCAGAAGTGAGCAGTCTGGGCCAGGCTGCGGGCTGCCGGGAGGAGCGGGAGCAGCGAGAGGCAGGCAGGGCTGCCAGGCTCTGACCCCGGCTTTCCAGAGGGGGGACCCGGGGCCGCGGACAGGGTGCCTGGCCAGGCGACCCCTCCCGCGCCTTGGTGGTCCCGAAAGTCCCACCAGGGGAGACCCCTGAGCAACACTGGGTGTGGCCCAAAGTCAGAACACCAACAACATCTCCAGTTGTAGTCCCTTGCCCCGTGAGAAACCAGAACCTAGGTCCCCCCACAGAACCTGAGTCCCCCAACAGAACCTGGTCGCCCAACAGAACCTGGGTTGCCCCACAGAACCTAGGTCCCCCAACAGGACCTGGTCGCCCAACAGAACCTGGGTTGCCCCACAGAACCTAGGTCCCCCAACAGGACCTGGTCGCCCAACAGAACCTGGGTTGCCCCACAGAACCTAGGTCCCCCAACAGGACCTGGTCGCCCAACAGAACCTGGGTTGCCCAACAGAACCTAGGTCCCCCCACAGAACCTGGGTCCCCCAACAGAACCTGGGTTGCCCCACAGAACCTAGGTCCCCCCACAGAACCTGAGTCCCCCAACAGAACCTGATCGCCCAACAGAACCTGGGTTGCCCAACAGAACCTAGGTCCCCCCACAGAACCTGGGTCCCCCAACAGAACCTGGGTTTCCCAACAGAACCTGGGTCCCCCCACAGAACCTGAGTCCCCCAACAGAACCTGAGTCCTCCAACAGAACCTGAGTCCCCCAACAGAACCTGGTCACCCAACAGAACCTGGGTTGCCCAACAGAACCTAGGTCCCCCCACAGAACCTGGGTCCCCCAACAGGACCTGGTCGCCTAACAGAACCTGGGTTGCCCCACAGAACCTAGGTCCCCCCACAGAACCTGAGTCCCCCAACAGAACCTGGGTTGCCCAACAGAACCTAGGTCCCCCCACAGAACCTGGGTCCCCCAACAGAACCTGGGTTTCCCAACAGAACCTGGGTCCCCCCACAGAACCTGGTCCTCCCAACAGAACCTGGGTTTCCCAACAGAACCTGGTTCCCCAAAGGGGTTCTCCATGCATGTAAAGGGAGGAGATGAAGCGACAGGCAGGCTAAAGACAGGCATTCCCGACGCCCAGGACTCAGGGGTAGAACTGCGGCTCTTCCTCCTGATTCCACCCCAGGCAGCCGTGGGGCCGGCCAGAACCTCAGCAGGCCCATCCAGCGCCCAGCCAGGCTTCCTGGAGGCCCTGGGGGTGACACCACCCAGATGCCATGACGACCGGCCCACACACGGCGACCCACCTACACATAGCCCAGAGGGGCTGCCTGACTCCCCGGGTGCTGGGCTCTGGGTCCTGACGAGGCCACCAACACAGGCGCTCTGCGTGTGTGTGTGTGTGTGTGTGTGCGCGCATGTGTGTGTGCGCGCACGTTTGTGTCTGTGTGTGTACGCGTGTTTGTGTACGTGTGTGTGCCTGTGTGTCTGAGTGTGTGTGCATGTGTGTGTGTCTCTGTGTTTGCCTGTGTTTGTGTGCATGTGTGTGTGCATGTCTGTGTGTGTCTCTCTGTGTGTCTGTGTGTACTGTGTGTCTGTGTATACGCGCGTGTGTATGTGCATGTTTGAGTGTCTGTGTGTGAGCATCTGTGTGTGTGTCTCTGTGCATGTCTGTGAGTGTGTGCATGTGTGTGTGTGTCCGTGTGTGTGTGTCTGTGCACACGTGTGTGTCTGTGTGTGTGTGTGTGTGTGCGCGTTTATGTGTGTGTGTCTGTATGTGGCCAGAGGAGAAGGCGCCGTGGCAGAGAGACAGAGCAGGGCACACCAGCTCCCGACAGGCTGGGCCAGATTGGAAGGAAACAGAGCGAGGAGCCCGGGAGGTGCGGCCGGGATGTCTCCACCGAATCCTCACAGATGCACCAGCTCTCTGGAGCCAGCACTCAGGCCACCCAGGGGCCCCGCCCGGGGCAGAGAGGAGTCACCTTAGGCCCCGAGCGCCCAGGGGAGAAGGGATTTTCCCTGCGTTCGAGGCTCCACCTCTGCCAGTTCTGATCCACCAACAGAGAAGGACAAAGTTGCACAATGTATTTGATCTCTGGTGCGCTTAGTATTTGATTCACTGCCTTGAAAAAAGCCAAACCCCAACTTGGATTCCAACATGACCATTATCCCAGAGCGACAGTGTTTTTCCACTGCAGGGACAGGCCAAAAAAAAAAAAAAAAAATCAATCATCCTCCGCTCCAACTTTTCCTGTTTGTTGGTTCTGAACTTAAACCTGATAGATTCAGAAGCAAAATCCCACGGGGGACACTCTGTAGACAGGTCAGCTGTCAAGGGCCACATGAGCTGTGGAGAGCAGGGTCGCCATTAGGTGAACCAACTCGAGAATCCTCACTCTCAGAGGTGTTGGCATCGAGCATATGGTTCTGGAAGCTTCTTTCAAACGTGCCTATGTTCAGGCAAGACATGGTTTAAAGTGCATTCCCTGCACGCTGCTGACCTCAGCTTGATCCCTGTACCACAAATGGTCCCCTGAGCACAGAGCCAGGAGTAAGCCGGGAGCACTGCCAGGAGTAACCCAAAACCAAAAAAAAATTAAAATGGGGAAAAAAAAGTGCCTCTTTATGAAAGGACGAGTCCATTATTTAGCTGCGGCGAAGGCTGGAAAGAGAGTATGCTTTTGGCTCTAGGAAAATCCTTCCACAAGCATTTGCTGGCTCCTGGAGAATATTCTGAATTTTCAAAAGGTTAGGAAGTGTGGCTGGCGAGGCTACGGCCCGTCCCTTCAAGGACAGCTGAAGTCGTAACCCGCTCTGGCCCAGATCTGTCAGAACCGACCACAAGCATTCAACAAACACGATGAACAAACCACTGCAAACGTTTCCTGTGTTATGACACGGCAGAGGGCATATTCCACATTCTTCGCACCGGGGGTTTTGAACGGCAGCTGGAGTTTCTCTCCAAACACGGGTCGCAACCACCCTTGAGGATGGAGTGACCGCCAGCAGGGATGGGGGGTGCCGGGGAGCTGGTGCTGATGGGGGCAGGGCCAGGCCAGGCTCAGACAGGCACCCAGCGCACGCAGGGATCCGCCTGCCAGCCTGGGCTCGTCCAACATCTCCCCTAGAATCAGGGATGAAATCTGACCTAGAAACGAATTTTCCTTAGGAATTTGGAGTCGGAAATCAGGGGAAACTTTTCCTCTCCGTGTATACTTCCGGGAAGCGGAATTATGATGAAAGTATGGAGTGAGAGTATGAAAGAATGGCAGGTCGGGCACTTCCTTCACTTTCTTTGCTCAGGGCCAACTGGGTGCGATCCTTGACGTCCCATTCGGTCCCTGGAGTTTGCCAGGAGTGATTCCTGAGCACAGAGTCAGGAGTTCGCCCTGAGTATTAGCTAAGTGTGGTCCCCAAATGAAGCAAAAGCAAACAAATAAAAATAAAGTGCCCCTCCTTCCCCCTGCCCTGATGGGACACCGAGATGATGCCACATCTGGCCACCATCTACTTCAGCTCCCACGTGGCCACCATCCAGAGACACACGAACAATCTCAGACCCACACAACTTACAGCAGCAATTTCTTCAGACCCTAATTATTAAAATCTTAGAAGTCCTATAGCTCACGGCTGCTCTTGTGGCCACGCAACATTGTATTATACCCATAACACGCAACACAAAACACACTGTCTAGCAATTGCATTTTGGGCAATTATGAGGGGTGGTAGGACTGATCTCGAAATATCAAAGGTAACTAAAGTAGAGAAAGAATATTTTGCAAATTGTCTGCCACACGGAGGGGGGGAGGAGTGGAATGGGGGTGGGGGGTGTATATTGGGGATTTTGGTGGTGGAAAATGTGCACTGGTGAAGGGATGGATGGGTGTTTGATGACCGTACGTATGATCGAAGTTCAAACATGAAATTTTTTTTTTTACTGTACCTCATGGTGAATTAATAAAAAATTTTAAAAATATATAGAAAAATATAAATATAAAATATATATAAATATAAAAAATATAAAACCCAGCTCCCGGAAGAGAACAGCGCAGAGTTTCCTGCCCCCACGTCTGGCTGTCCTCGCTGGGGCCCCTTGGAGGGGGGCGGGTTGAGTTTCCCTCCCCACCCTGACCAGGGCTCCGGCAGCCAAAGATCTCCAGAACCAGCCACCACCATGCTGAGACCACTCTCCCCTGCATGAAGGTACTGGCAGAGGGACAAAGGCATGTGGGTCCTGGGGCTGAGATCTCCAAGCCTGCTCAAATTGGGGCTGAGCATCCTCCACCCAGATCCTCCATCTTCCAGTAGGCAGCGGTCACACCCACCAACTGGCCCCCTGGCGCCGTGTAATCCCATCAATGGCCAAGACCCAGAGACTATGAAACCCAGCTCCTGGAAGTGCGTGGCCACATATGCGGCCATGCAACACCTTATTATCTCATTCTTACTTTGGACAACCTGGCAGGCTATCGAATGTAACCAGCCCACACGGCAGAGTCTGGCAAACTCCCCGTGGCGTACCCAACATGCCAAATACCAGTAACAATGATGGGTCTCATTCTCCTAACTCTGAAAGAGCCTATGAGAATATGGCACTTTTTAAAATCTCACGGCTAGGATGAAGGAAACGTTACTGGTGCCTGCTCGAGGCAATCGACGATCAACAGGATGATCGTGATCGTGATAGAAAAATAAAAATAAATAAATACAGTGCACTCTTAACTATGTTTGCTTCTAGGCAAGAATACGGAACCTAGATCCATCCCGTGTCTCAAAGAGGAAAGGAGATGCATTGACCTACCGGTCGGCCGTGGACACTCTCGTAGTACAACAGTGCTTTCTGCAGTGCCACCTTCTCGTTTGCAATCTGGGCTTTGGTCATATCCTACAGACACGCAAGGAGAGAGGAAAGAAAGAGGGGGAACATTCCGTGAGTCTGGATTGAGGCACAATTCCTAAAGGAAGTGTGGGAAGAATTTCCATCCGACAGTTCCCACTGGTCCCTGCCCAGGAGTCCTCAAGTCAGGCACGGGCTTCCTGACCTCTGCAGGGAACACCACCGGCCCAGCACAACCGTGGCTGCCTGTGGGGTCTCCCAGCTGGCCACAGCGGCATGCGGGACACTGAGTTAGTGAGCCTATGGGCCAGTCGGTGCTTACTTATTGGCCCAAGCAATGGCTGGAGTCAGGGATGACACAGTCTAAAGGTTTCTCTCTAATCCTCCTGCCTCGGAGTCACCGATGGCCCACAAGCCTGACCATGTTTGTTCTACAGGCTCCGGTGGGTTTTGGCTTTTAACTCGTGGTGAGAAAACCCAAGTCTGGTCAGTGAGGCATGCTGGTGTCCACCCACTGCTTCAGACCTCTGAGCGCGTGAAATGAGGACGGGGGAGGGCTAACGGGTGTCCCTCTGCCAGCCCTCCTGCCCCGACTGGACGCCTCCGCGGTCAGCCCACCTTGATGTCCTCGGGACGGCTGCTCTCGGCCCGCTTCTCCTGCAGCTTCCTCTGGATACATTCCAGCGTGGCCTCCACGGTCGGCTTTATGGCTTTATCCACCAGCTCCTGCTTCTTCTCCTCTTCCTTCTCCAGCTGGGAGCCGAAACTCTTGGGAAGCGTGTTACTGCGCTGCCGCATCTTGGGGGCCAGCTCCTCCTCGGAGATCTTCAGCTTTGAGTCTGGTCGGAAAGATTTGGGTGGAGGATACATGAGTTACGGGTGGGCGCCAGGCCCAGAGAGCTTTCTCTCCTATGATGTCACTGCTTGACCTGTTTGTCAGAAAGTAGCTAACTATAATATGAGCTCCGACCCCAGGGTTATGACATAAAGCCCGGGATGATCAGACCAAAGAGGCTCTCTCCCGAACCCGGGATCCCAGGAGCCCTTGAAATAAATATGTACACCCATGCCTCAGTTTCACCGGCTGATTGCTCTTCTCGACAGGTGACAGATACCTTCCTCTACCGATCCCTTAGAGTTGATTGATTGATTTTGGGACTGGGGGCCATACTTGGCATGCTCTGTGCTTGGGGGTCTCTTCAGGGGACTATGAAATGGAGCCTGGGCTCTTGCCGGTGGTCTGCACCCAGGCCTCTCCCTTAGTCTTCAAAGGCATGTACTGTCCGAGCAACACCCAACCACTGGCCAACTTTTTCTGCTGGGCCAGACTATGGCTGAAGTATTTTGAAATCAAGCAAAGAAAGAGGAATCAAGAAGAGGCGGGGATTACCTCCTTCCTGATTATCCTCACTGTGTTTTCTGCTTCCTCACTAACACACACCCGTCTCCGCACAGACAGCGGGCTCCTTGGAAGGAGCTCCAACCCTTTCCCGATTCAGTTTTGGTCTGTGTGTTTTCCCCCTGACACCGCAACAGCCGAAGCCTTGGGTTAAACACATTGTCAGCGATGACGCTGACATCATCCTCCTTCCTTTGGTGATTTAGGGAAATGAAGAAATGCTGCAGAATTTGCATCTTGGCTGATCTGGGCTGCCCGCGACGGAAACCCTGGCAGGCAGGAGGAAGTCAGCGAGGACACAGAGATCTGGGAAGCTGGGGCCAGAAACACATCTTTCCTCGAGAAGTTTTGCAGCAGGATTTGGCCTGCGGGCGCCCACAAACGCTGAGTCTGTCCCTGTCTCTCCGGCAGAGCCACAGCCCGAGTGATCTACCCACCTTTAAGCTGCTTCCTGAATTTGGCAAGGTCATTCGTCCACTTCAGAACCTCTGGGTTGGCCGCTTTGTCACTGTGGGAAGGCTGGAAAAGGGGATGACAATGACTGGAGTGTTGGAAATCAAGCAAAAACAGGCAAAAAGAGGAGTTGGGACCACCCTGTTTTTGGGGGAAGGAATGACTGAATGTCCCTGCAACAAGGAACCAACCCTGATCCGAGCAGATGTCGCAAGGACGATTCCATGCTCCTACCTTACATTCTGGTTATTTTTATTTTTATTTATTTATTTATTTATTTATTGCTTTTTGGGTCACACCCGACAATGCACAGGGGTTATTCCTGAATCTGCACTCAGGAATCACTCCTGGTGGCGCTCAGGGGACCATAGGGGATGCTGGGAATCGAACCTGGGTCGGCCGCGTGCAAGGCAAAAATGCCTTACCCACTGTGCTATCTCTCCAGCCCTCATTCTGGTTACTTTTGATGCTTTCCAAGAATTAAAGCCCCCATGTTAGATTTCTACGATCAGGACTTTCTCTGAGAGGCTGTTTGCCTTATTTGGAAGGTTCTAGCTGTCAGACTAACAGAACAGAAAGATGAATAAAAAGCCGTTTTACGCTGCACCTCCCTTGAAAAATGCCTTTTTGCCACTCTTGAGAGAAAAACGAAGAATACGGTTGCGAGCCGAATGAGGTCAGTACTAATGGCATTGAGGAGAAAATCCTGAGTTCAGTCTAAGCCAAACAAAAGACTTCATTTGGCCATTTGCCCCTATTCCTGCTCTCTCACATGTTCAAAGCAAAGAATAAAACACTCGATCTATCAGGAAGGAGACGGGTGTAATAAAGATGCAGACGCATGTTCGGAGGCCTGTGGAGGGTTAGTACTACCTCCGGTTTTGCGGCGTTTGAGCTGGAGATTCCCCAAGGGGTGCCCTCGTCCCCACCGCTCCTTGGGGCCGCCGTGCCGGCCGCTTACCCTGTATTTCCGCTCCTCTTCGAATCTGTCTTCAAACTTGCGGATCTTCTTCTTGAGGCTCTGGATTCTCCGCGTGAGCTGGGCGGGCGTCAGGTCTTCCTGCTCGTCATCGTAGGAGCCCAGGGAGGAGCTGCGGCGCCTGCCAAGTCAAAGCCCGGGTCACTTTCCTGCGGGCACTGGGGGAGTGGCAGGGGAGCTGGACTCGCTGGAGTCACTGTGTCCTGCGCTTGGGGGGGACTCTCCAGCCTCGGCTCACAGCTGCAGACGCTGAGCTCACAGGGGTGCCTCGGATGGGAAGAAGCTTCCAAAAGGAGCCGCGTGGAGCCAGAGCAATAGTGCGGCAGGGAGGGCGCTGGCCTTGCACCTGTTGGTCCAGGTTCAACCCCGGGCATCCCACAGGGTCCCCTGAGCCCACCAGGGGTGACTGCTAGGTGCAGAGCCAGCCTCATCCCCGGGCACTGCAGGGTGTGAGCCAACCCCTCCCCCCACCCAAAAAGAGGAGGTGCGAGTGGAAATTCCACATGAGTTGCCACTGCTGTTCACCCGAAGGTGCACGCGAGGGTATGGAATTCTTAAACTGTTGCTGGATAGACTCAGAACGGCCAAGAGTGATTCGGTCTCGGGCAGAGACAGCCCAAGGGCCGGTGCGGGCTTTGCAGGGAGGAAGCCCACGCCTACTCCCGGACACCGCAGGGTCCCCCAAACACCCCCCCTCCCTGGAAGGACCTCCACGGGGTACACCGGAGAACAAAAAGTCAAGACAGACACGCTGTCAGCACCCTGCCAGCCTTTGGTTCCGAGGACACGATGACGTACCGCATGAAGGAGTGGGAATTGGGCGGGGAAGGTGCCACCTCCGTGTCGTCCAGGTACTGTGCACTCTGCCCGTAGGCGTAGAAGCGGGGGGAGACCAGGGGGTCGCTGTCTTCGTCCAGCAGCTGCCGGATCAGGCGCCCGGGCTGCGGGGACAGGCGCGCGTCGTCCGTGGACCCGGTCTCCGGCTGCCAGGAAGGTACGGTGGGTGCTGGCTCTGGGGGGAGAAGGACAGGGAAGGGGGACATGTGTCAGACTTCCTCTAGGGAGCACGAGAGGTGCCCGTCCCGGAGATCTGCAAGGGCTGTCTTTACAAAAATAATTGTTTTAAATCGAGTTTCTGTTATTTATGATACTGTCATGGGTGGTTTCCCAGGCATCGAATTCTAACAGCAGAAGGGCTCACATCTTTGTTGTGTGTGTCTGTGTGGGATTGGTTTTGGGGCCACCCCTAAGGATGTCAGGGGTTACCCTGGGCAGGCTTGGGGGACCATAAGCAGTGCTGGGAGTTAAATCTGGAAGCTCTGCTCGGAAGGTTTAGATGACGATGCCCTGCTTGGAATGACATCACTCACTTATCGGACAGCCACAGTGACACAGTTACAAGGTTGTTCATGACAGGGCTCCAGTCATACAATGTTCCAACACCTGTCCCTTCAACAGTGCACATTTTCCACCACAAGTGTTCTCAGTTTCCCTCCCAGCCCTTACCCCATTGGCCTCGATGGCAGGCACTTTCCTTCTCTCTCTCTCTCTCTCTCTCTCTGAACATTTGAACATTATAGTTTCCAATACAGGTATTGAAAGGCTATCATGCATATCCCTTTACTTACTTCAACACTCAGCTCTTTTCCAGAGTGATCATTTCTATGACATTAACAGTTAGAAACCATCATCACTTAAAACAAAAAAACAAAATAAACAAAACCTCCATCTTCCCTTGCTTTCAAAAGAGAATTTCTAAGGGCTGCCTTAAGAACAGTGTTGAAGGAGGCAACATTCTGTTCGCTGACAAGGTCTCTCTCAATGGAGGGTATCATTAACAAGGAGAGGGGCCCGGAGTGACAGCCCAGTGGGTAGGGCATTTGCCCTGCACACGGCTGACCTGGGTTGGACCCTGGCACCCCATAGGGTCTCTCGAGCCCACCAGTGTGTAAACTCAGGAAGGGGCACAGCACACAGTGGCGGTGGCTCTATCTCTCCCGCCGCCCGCGTTCGGTAGTCTCACCCTTCTTCCCCCCACCCCGGAGAGGTCGATGGCGATGGGCAGGCAAAGGAAGGAACGAGGGCCAGACTGGTTGGTCTTAGTCACAGTTTATTCTAATCCTCTCTTCATCCACACCAGTCTCTCTTCTCTGCCTCTGCCTCTGCTGAGTGACTTCTGAGTGCAGATCCAGGAGTAAGCCCTGACCACCACTGGGTGTGAACCCCAAATAAAATAAACAGACAAAAGAAAACAAGGGAAAAAAGAGGGAGTTCTTCGGCATTGTGGGTCATCTGTTCTTCACCAGGACAACCAATCCCAGGAATGATGTGAGAGCACGGTTATTGGGAGTTGGCACTGGCCACTGTTCTGTGGACCTGTACGGTCCCCGTCACCCTGTACAGTCCCCTGTGACCACCAGGAGTGAGTCCTGAGTGCAGGGCCAGGAGTAATCTCTGAGCATGACCAGGTGTGACCAAAAAAGAAAAGAAAATCCAAGTCCTGTCCTGGGCTTGGGGATGTAAGTGTTAAGTAGAAAACACGCCACATACGTACAAGGTTGTGGGTTCTACCTAACCAAAATTCTATCTAAAAGATTTTAAAGATAAACCTCAGATGGTTGAAAGTGTTTTATTTCCAATATCCTCTATTTTTTTTAAGGAACCCTTTAAATCAATTATGAATTACTATAATTTAAACAAGTCTAGAGTTCCATGATCTTAAATTATGGAATTCCAGAATCTGACTCATAAAACAGTTTTCTCTTCAGCTATCATACTAAATTGCACAAAATTTCCCCTTAAATATTTGATCACTCAGCATTTTATTTTTAAAAGACCACATTATAATCACAGATCTTAGAGTGGGTGAAACTAACAACATCATCTAATCAGCTACTTTTTCATCCTTGCTGCAAATTGGGGCCACAGAAGGAGATTAAACAGTGTTTCAGGGGACAGCCCAGACTGCAACACACACACACACACACACACACACACACACACACACACACACACGTTTAAAAGTTGCCCAAGTGATGCTAAATGTAGTTGGGTTTGAGATTAACTGATTCACCCCCACGAATTACACACGCGAAAACTGAAATCCAGAGAACTGAAGAGCAAATCCCTCATCAATTAAGCCTAGAAACCAAATCTCCAGACTTCAGGACTGTGTTTCCGTTCAGAATAAGCCAGAAATTCAGTCACAAGGATGGCTGGTAATGTTTGAGGACCCCACAGTACCGTGGGCAAGGAAAGCAGAGACTTATTTAAAAAGAACTTCACAGGGAATTAACTGCGTACATTCTCAAAATTTAAAGAAAATCAAGTAATTTGGGAACACAGATGAAAACATAAATATTAAAAAAAAGTCATGTTAAAGGCAGGTTTTTTTCCCCCCACCGAGAAATCCTCAAAAAGTGGCACAGAATTTTGTTGATAGAAATGGCGGCTGAGCCTGGAGGTGAACAAGAATTGTCTCGTCATTTGTACTAACGTTCACAGCAAGCTTCTCCTAAGGGCAAGGAACTGTAGCATCAAAGAGTGGAAACAGATTAAGAGGTGAGTGGAAAGAAACCCCTAAAAAATAATCCAAAGTGTTAAGCTGCAGAAGATGGGAATTATTAAATGGAATACGGTGCGTCTTTTGCACGTAGTAGGACAGCAAGCAGTTTTCTCCCGGGGGCTCCAACAATTATTCTGCATGCAGAGAGGCAACGGAGCACCAGCAAGGGGACAGGCTAGCTAGCTGGTCCAGGACAGAGGATGAAACGAAGCCTGATGCTGCGACTGGCAGGCAGGTGTGCTGGCCCGTCATTCTGCTCATCAAAACTTAACCTCAAGCTGGTCTGGAGAACTAGGACAGTGGGCAGGGTGCTGGCCTGGCATGCAGTTGACCTGGGTTTGATTTCAGCATCCTACACGGTTTCCTGTACACCACCAGGAGTAATTACTGAGCACAGAGCCAGGAGTAACTGCTGAGCATCGCTGGGTGTGGCCCCCAAAACAAAACATAAAAACTTAACTAGGAGAGGTATTGTCTTAGGCTCCAAAGACCTTTAACTTGTGTACATCCAGCAGAACTGCTCTTAAAAAACGTCACAACTCATCTTTGATTTTAGTTATCAATGATGTGGTCTCTGAATACTTTTTTTTTTTTTAGCAGAAGAGTGGATCTTAACATTAACCAACGTCTGTCCATTTTCTCTTAAAACCAACAGTGGAAATGAATATAGCTATTTAAAAATAGTATTTATACAACCGCTATGAATTTTTACTCCAACAAAATAAAAAGATATATGCTTCTGCGTGGGTCCTTGTGGACAGCTGAAGTTGTTTCTCATCTACAAAACGTGAAATGCTTCCATCATTTTCTCTCCTGTTTCGTTCTTTCCTTTCATGCTACTTGGTCTGACATTTTAAGGCTCCGATTCCAAAGAACACTATTGCAGGTAATACATGTTCTCTCTCTCTGATCAATAAAACCAACTCTTCCGTGTTTCAGATGGAAATGGTCTAAAAGCCATTTGGGGACCAAACTAGAAAAACAAGAAACAACCAAATAACATCAATGGCGCACACAATGTTCTCTCCAATGGCATAAACTGTAAGGGCAGTTTTGAGGATATCTTCAGTGACCATCCACCCCAATGGATAGTTTGGGAAATAGATTATACTTTAACCAGTAATTCCAGAACAATAAAAACAGACACGGACCTGAAACCCAAACACAAAAATTTGTAAGTCTACAACTGTACCTCATGGTGTTTCACTAAAAACGGCAGAGTCTGGCAAACTCCCTGTGTCGTACCCAATATGCCAAATACCAGTAACAATGATGGGTCTCATTCTCCTAAAGAGCCTTGAATATAATCTCAGGGCTAGGATGAAGGAGACGTTACTGGGGCCTGCTCGAGGCAATCGATGAATAACAAAAAATAAAAATAAAAAAAAAAACCAGACACGGAGGTTGAATGAAAATTATTCAAAGGAAAAAACAACAACAACAACAAAGAGATTTAAGATTTCAGGGTGGATTTCCTTCACCTGAAAGGACCATATAGAACACATGTGTTCTGTCCTCTGGAAACCAGCATTCCCTGCATGCAGGGATTTTGATTTTTGCTGTGATCTTGTCACAAAGAACTCTGGACCTAAGCGTGGCATGTGCCTCTATTAAAAATTAATCCGCCCAGGTCAGCTGGCATCAGAGCAGGTCAGTAATAGCAGAGATAAAAGCTCTTTGCCTGCTGCCTAAGTCATGAGTAAGAACAACCCTGCGGAGTTCTAGGTCAGGCCCACAGAGGCACAGGGAGAGGCCCGCAGCTCTGAGCGGCCTGGTGTGTTCTCCTCTCCGGGGGGCTGGCTGGAGCCCCTTGCTAGTCCAGAAAAATGAGCTGCTGGTGTGCATTGAGTGCACCTGCTATTCACGTCTGTCCTCCAGCCCAGGTACTCTGGAGTCGTCAGAATTCGGCCTGACGTCACAGCCATTAGGACTTGGCCTGACGTCATAGCCCGGGTCCAGGAGGCGCCTGTGTGGAGCTTGAGGGACTGACACAGCCAAGCCACAGTGTGGTGGGAGCCCAGAGCTGAGAGGCGCCGCTTCTGCCAAAGCATCCGAGTGCTGAGAGCCGCAATCCCATGCAAGCGTCCAGACGGCCGCCTGGAAGCCCAGTGGTCAGGCCTAGCCAGCCAAGGAAGCGTTGTTAAGTTTCATGTCTCTAAATTGCCCCCATAAGTGTAGTAAGTAGGTGCTCCCAGCGACCTTTGGGTCAAAAATACACATGGATAGGGCTGAGGACACCCGGATTCGTGGCAAGTTGGACCCGTAACTGCACACTGGCGAGCTTCTAATTCACTATCTCCCCGTCTTCCCTTCTTCCCGCATTCTGAGTCAGCCCCACGTAAGGCCCAGCTGGGGCCTTCCAAAGGCACCATTTCCCCTACGCTGGACTCATAAAAAGGAAGGAAGGGGGCTCGTGTGAGTCTTTCGTCCTCTGCCGTCTTCATCGTGAGGTGGGCTTGTGCTCTGCTTTTAAAGAAGGCAAAATTGGGCCACTGTTTTTTTTTTTTTTCCCTTCTCTGAAACCCCAGCTGGCAATCCTTGGAGAACACTGTAGTCCCATCAGCTTATGAATCACGCTGTGCGCCCACACCGCACCAAAGCTTTCTGCATATTTGTTACTATTTAATGTTTGGTTTGGAGGTCGCATCCAACTCAGATCTACTTCTGGTTCTGCACTCAGGGAGGATTCTGGCGGGGCGGGAGGGACCTGGTGGGATGCTGGGGGTCAAACCCGACAGGACGTGTGCAAGGCAAACGCTCGACCTCTGTGCTTTGGTCCAGCATTTTGTACATTTTAGTTCACTTAATTGTGGTAACAACCTAAGTAAACACAACACTATTATTCATCCCCATCTCCTTGGAGAAGTTGGGACAGAGAGAGCGTCCAACAGGCTGACGATAGTCTTTGCATGCAGGAGGTCTCGGTTTGAACTCCGGCACCACACGAAGCAACCTGCACAGAGCCTGGAGTACGCCGGGCACTGCTAAGTGTAGCCCTCCCAGTCTCCCCCCACGAGGTGCTATTTCGGCCAGGATAGAGACAGGACGTTTTGAGAAGGCAGAAACAGGATGGAAACAAAAAGATTTTTTTTTTTAAGGGTTACACCTAGCGATGCTCAGGACTTACACCTGGCCCTGCACTTAGGAACTCAGAAACTAGTCCTGTTGGTGCTTGGGGTACCATAAGAGATGCCGGGGATGGACCGGTGTTCCCAACGTGCAACGGCGCAAGGGCACATGCCCTCCGCGGTCCTGTCCCTCCACCCCGAGATGCTGTCTTTAACCATCACTTTGCCCCTTCTTGTGGACCTCTGCTTGCTTCTCTGTACAATGGGGGCACGGGGAAGAATTACATCTAGAAGGTCTTTAAGGTCTTATATTTTTTTCCCCAAGGAGTAAACAAAATATTACTGTTACTGTTGTTTTTGGTTTTGGACCACACCTGATGGCTCAGGGGCTCTTCACAGCCCAGTACTTAGGGGTCACTTCTGCTAGTGCTGGGATACGTGAGGGCAGGGGATTAAATGGAAGCTCTTGGCATGAAGAGCATGTGCACAAGCCCCTGAACGATGTACCCCGTCCCCAAAGTTAGTTCCATAAGCCTCACCGATGAATAAGATAAAAGAAGGACTTATGCCCCTCAAAAATGCCCTTTTGGGGTCAGGAGGGAGCGCAGTGGTTCAGCATTTGACTTGCATGTTTGAAGCTTGATCTTAGCAGCATTAGTACTTTACTGTTATTTGGTTTAACTATGTGAGAAAAAAAAGAATCATTGAAAGCACAACTACGATCAAAACAGATTCCATGAATCCATGCAGATGTGAAACACTTCCGTGTTCAATTTCAATGCAGTACTTGGCAAGAAAAAATAAGTTAAAAGTAAAATATTTTCTAAATACATGGGGCAATGCAATCCATAATGTTTATAAGAGTGCATTATTTTCATCAAAACCTTTATTATTTTTTTAAAAATTCCATCCAGCTGCCCAGCACAACATAAAACACTGGTGTCTTTATATTACTATTATTTGTTTGGAAGAAAGTTCTGTTTATTGAGTAATAAAATGGTTTTAAGAAAATCATCAACCAGTTTTCAACTACTCTGGAGAGAATTTGCAGCTTTATGTTAGTTCTACATGGAAAGACATGATCAATTTAAGATTAACCAAGATTTGAAAAAACAAAACTGAGCCCCTTTCAGAAGGAAGAGGAGAATTCTACCAGCCCCTTTGTACCTAATTTGAATTCTAAGCAGAAATCCTAGCTTGCACTTAGTTTTATGCTAAGTTCACACTAAGGTACCGCATTACTGAATCCATATACAGGACTTTTTGTGGCTTCCCCTCTTTTGGGAAGCTATCAAGAGCTATCAAGGGGCTTATTTTTGTGGGGGAGGAGAAGCAGCTTTGTTTTAAAAGCACCATTCAAAAAGCATTTGATTGTGTCGGAATGAACAAATCCCCAAGCAGTTCCCAGGAATAGCTTCCTTGAGTCGAAAGCAAAAGTTCTCCATTTTAAAATTCTGTGAGTGCACTGAGCTGGGAAGTCCTGAAGCATCTCCGCCAGGGGCCGGATGACCCAGCCGTTCCTACTCACCCTCTCGCCTGTGAGCTTGCAAGGCAGACCCCAGACAAAGTGGGGTCTGCTTCATGCAAGAAGCAGGTGGGGTTCCTAGTTTTCACCTTGGATTCTTTTTAGATCACCTCCAGGTCCTGCACCTAGGAAGGCGGACTTAATCGGCAGTACTGGTTTCAAGAAGACCGGGCACAAGGGCACTGTGTGTGATTCTCTGCTAAGTCATTCTGGGGAGTCTCGTTGCTCTTCTGAAATGAGCAGCAAAATTCTCCCCCCGCACTCACGGCCGTCTGGAGCACAGGCGGTCTATTTTGGGTACACACTCATCTATGCACGGATGTTCACACACGGAGAGAGAAAAGAGCATCTCGGGGAACCTGCTCCCCTCCCTTCAAACGCACAGCTGACAAGCCAGGAGACCCTCCTCCTCCTCCTGAGTCAACCATCCCCCTCCTAAGCAAACCCTGGGGCACAGTCTTTCTAAACACTACCAAAGGTTGTTTATTCTTATCTTCTCCTTGATAAGCAAATCCCCTCTGTTTGTTTCTTAACCTGGATTTTTAAAAGAAAAAAATCCATAAAACAAACACAGAAGGAGAGCAAACCCAAACACCCTTCCAAAAAAAAAAAATAATAGAAAAGAGATTTGCAAGAGGTAGGCGGTTGGCATATAGTAGTGGGAAACTGCCAAACGGGCGGGGGGGATGGGGGGTGGGGAGGGCTGACATCCTACATGCACTGCAGTTCCCAATTTCTCTGGTACTCCTAGAAGACAAACAAATGCATCCCTCTGTGTCAGCCCCGGCACTCTCTGGGAGGTCGTTGGAAAAGGCCTCGCAAGGTGACGCGCTGAGAAAGGACACACGCACACACGCATTCTCGTGCCGCCGGGACTGGAATTCCTCTTTCTTGGCACCACTTCATGCAGTGCCTTCCCGGGATCGGGGAGGGGCAGGGCCCCCGAGCGAGGCAGTGCGGGCACGCCGGGTCCCTCGCGCGCGCACGGCCACCCTGGGCACGCCCCGGGCCACCCTACCTCCCCAGGGCTCCTCCGGGCACAGCGCCGTCAGGTCCAGCGGGGCCACCTCGGGGCTCTCGGGCTGCTGCTCGGCCGCATCCTGGGTCCGGGCCAGCTTGGCGTCAGGGAGGCCGGGATGCTCCTGGATCTTCATGGTGGGGTTCTGCAAGAAGAGGGACCCCCCGAGCGCTCAGCGCCACCGGACAAAGCCCGCCGCGGCGCGGCTCCCTCGGGGCGCGGCCGGCCCAGTTCCCGGCGGCCGAATCGGAACCATCGCGCGGCGGGCCCCGGCGCTCCCGGGGCGTCGGTCCATGTGGGCTCGCCAACTTTCCCTGCAGCGGGGCTCGGGGAGGCGGTTTTCCCGCGGGTGGGCGGAGGGCACTGCGCGCCCGGGCGGAGCGCGGGGACACTGCACGCCTCCGGGGAGCGCGCGCTCGCTCGGGCTCTGCAGCCCGTCGCAGCCGCGCGGTTGGTTGCTAAGCGGCGCTGCACCCCACCCCCACCCCCCGCGGCACCCCGGGGAGACACTCGCGTGTCCAGCACCCGGCCGGGCGCACGCACAGCCCCGCGTCCTCCCCGGCGCGCTCCGGGGCGCGGTGGCGGCTATTTATGGGCGCGCTCCGGGCCTTGCGCAAACCCCAGGGCGCAGGGGACGCGGGCGCTGGGCCGCAGCCAACGCCTCTCGGAGCAGTTTTCTTTTCGCTTTTCTTTTCTTTTTTGAAAGTCAAAACGCCAAGAGTGGGCAAGTGGGTGGCGCCCAGTGTATACCTTAGGAAGCTGCCCCTGGCGCGGCCTCTTCATCGGCGCCGTGGACTGAACGCTCAGCCCCGGTGCAGGGCTGCGAGTGGGGGATGGACCGACGCTCTGAACGCAGCTCCATTACCTAAGCAATTTTATACTCCAGACCTTTGCACCGAAATCAATTCCCTGCCCCCACCCCCACTGGGTTCTTCCGCATGTTAAAAACCCAACACTTGTCATTTTCTCTTATTAAGAAAAAAAAAAAGTAGTGGCCTAAGTGCTTACTCACTGATGTAGGTCCCAAGTAATTCAGATTTGGACCAAAGATTTTCTTTGAAAATAATAATAATAATAACTGGCGATTTATTTTAGCAAACAGGCCACCATTAAATAGAAAAAAAATCCCAAACCATCTGGAAATCATAAATGATTCCATTAATGTCTGAGAAATGTTCTGATGCTTAAAATAAGGCACTATGAAGACTCCCAGCTACTTTTAATAGCTCTCCAGCCCACTCTGATATCACCAGGGGAATAGTTAAGACGTTTACTCTGATAGTACCACGAAATGATCCATGAAGATGGGAACTTGCTTCAAAATTAGGGTGAAATAAAATTCCATCAATCAATTCACAAGGAGTAATAAAAGTCAAACAGACAGCCACAGAAAGCCAGGGCTGTTTCCTATGGGGGCGGGGCAGACAGCGACAATGAACTGATGGATTTATGCCACAAAATCACTCTTCCTTGAGCTGACACTTTGGTACAGCAGTGCTGAGCGGCTGAGTGGTGTTACATATGTTTTAGAATCTGTGTACCGCAAATGAATTCTCAGGCTTTTATAGGACTTGTCATCCTCAACAGACATTAAGAAGGGAAGAAGGAAAAAAATACGATTTTATTTTGCTTTGTTTTCGGCTACGCAGAGATGCTCAGGGGTTACTCCTGGCTCTGCACTTAGGAATCACTCCTGGCGGTGCTCAGGGGACCATATGCCATGCCGGGGATTGAACTCGGGTTGGTGGCGTACAAAGCAAGCGCCCTACATGCTGTACTATCCCACCCACCCCCTGCCCCCTATCCATATTTGCGGGGGGGGGGGGGTTACACCCGGCATTGCACAGGGGTTACTCCTGGCTCATGCACTCAGGAATCACCCCTGGCTGTGCTCAGGGGACCATATGGGATGCTGGGAATCGAACCCGGGTTGGCCGCGTGCAAAGCAAACACCCTACCCGCTGTGCTATCGCTTCAGTCCCATCCATATATTTTTTAAAAATAAGTTTGGCACCTTCCTTCCAAGGAGCATGTTTTTAAGCCACCCGTGAGGCATAGCACAGGTTTTGCGGGAGGGTAGTGCTGGACTGGAGCAAGTGACCCTGACCTGGGGCTCTGACTTGGTGGCTCTACCCCGCTGAGCTCTGTTCCGTGCATTCACAGTGCCCATCCTGTCCATACCCATCCCTAAGATAATGAGGTGAGAGATCTGGGGTGTAAAGGATGCGATCATGGCACTCTCATGACCAAAAAATGAATGAATGGAACCGCTGCTCAAGGCACTGCAGTTTACAGCTGTCAGTGATGTACAGATGACAGCAGCTTGAGGAGAGATGTGTTGGAGCAGAGGGCAGAGCAGACTTTGACTTGAGCGTTCTGAGGTGGCTAGAACCAAGAAGCCCACACCTTCTGACACGCTCTCTCCGACTCACATCCTCTGCCTGGGTGGGTCAGGAGGCACAGCTAGGAGGAAAGGGGTTAACGTGAAGTCTGACGAAACCTGAGAGAGGAAAACCATGGACTCGTCGATACCTCTAACATGGATGCCACGAAATATCAGCAAAACAAGTTTAAAAGTAGATTCAAAAAAATATCACCCACTGCCATCAGGGGAATTCCCTTCAGGGATGCGGCTGGTTCAATGGATGGCCCTCACTCAATGCCTCTTTTGCAGACCACAACACCCAAAAGGAGAGAGAGAACAAAAGGGAATGCCCTGCCACAGAGGCAGGGTGGGATGGGGGGGGGGGACGAGGGGGTGGGAGGGATACTGGGATTGGTGGGGGTGGAGAATGGGCACTGGTGGGAAATGGGTACTTGATCATTGTATAATCGAAACCTATGCACAAAAATTTGTAAATCTACAACTGTACCTCATGGTGTTTCACTAATAAAAATTAAAAAATAAAAAAGTGAATGGCCCTGCATCACCACATCAACAAAAGGAAAGATAAAACTCATCCAGTCATCTCAACAGAAGCAGTGGAAACAAGGAAAGATCCGACATCTTTTTATGATAACACCCTTCCCACGGAGCCAGTCAGACAGTTCGGTGGGCAGAGTGCCTATCTTCCCAGGAAGGTTCAATTTTTGGCACCATTTATGGTACCCTGAGCTCTGTCAGGAGTGATCCCTGAGCACAGAGCCAGGAGTGAGCCCTGAGCACCACTAGCTGTGACCCCCAAACAAAACAAACCCTTAGCAATGTGACTGCAGAAGTAACACAGTGACATAAAAGTCACTGACGGCAGACCTCCAGCAAGCATCAGACTCAGTGGAGGGAAACTGAAAGCTTTCCTTGAAATCTCAGAAATAAGACACTGGCTACATGGGGGATGGAATGAATCGCTGGTGAAGTTGTTCTATTAACTCTCACTACTTCTACTCATTATTGCATTGGAAGACAAAGGAAGAGCAATCAGACAGAAGAATGCAAAAGGAATCCACTTTGGAACGAACTATGTAAGACTCTCACTCTTGGTAGATAACATGAAAAAAATATATATAGAGAGAAGGTGTCAAAGACTCCAGTAACAAGCCATTGGAAATGATGAGTATAGCAAAGTGGCAGGCTATAAAGTTAATACTAAAATTCTGTTACATTTCTATAAGAATTAATATACTAAACATCTGTTGCATTTCTATATGTAAATAATGAACCAGCAGAAAGAGAAATCAGGAAAAATTGCCACGTATAATTTTATCACAAAGAATAAATACCGCAGAATAAATTTAACCAAAGACGTGAAAAACCAATAAGTGGAAAACCATAAAATGTGGCCGAAAGAAGAAGACATGGGGATGGAAAGACCTCCGTGCTAAAATACTGAAAAAAAAAAAAAGCAACATCACTGGAATGGACAGATTACTAAAATAATCTACAGGTTAAGAGCAACCAAAGTCCCAATAAAGTTCCATCCAAAGTCCCAATGGAGTTCTTTACAGAATAAGAATAAAGATCTTGAAATTTATTTGGAACAATAAAGATCTTGAGTAGCCGAAATGCTTCTGGCGACAAAGAAAAAAAGCTGGTAGACTACCCAACTTCAAAATGCACTAGACGGCAGGATACTGTAATAAAAACAGACGCACAGATAGAACCAGATTGAGAGCCCAGAAAGAAAACCACAGACAGAATCCAACTGAGCCAAGAGTTTAGAAAGGAGGAATTTGAAAGTCTAGCCAGTAAATGGAGTGAGGCAAACCGGACAGTCGCCTGAAGAATGAGTCCTGACTCCCAACTGAATCCCAACATGGATTCGCTCTACAGAGATGTCTCTGCACTCCAACCGTCCACAATCTTAGAATTCCTCTCCTGATATTCAAATTGAACGATAGATAATAAATTATCTAGCATCTACCCCTGAGAGGCAGGCTTGAATGGCGATGGGAAAATTCGAGCAAACTATAATGCTCAAAAGTAGAGAGAAAGTATTGGGGAAATTGTCTGCCATAGAGGCAGGGTGAGGACTGGGATGGGGTGGGCGGATACTGGGGACACTGGCGGTGGCAAGTGGACACTGGTGGAAGGATGGGTGTTAGATCATTGCACGGCTGGGGCTCAAACATGAAAGCTTTGTAACTGCTTCTCATGGTGATTCAATTAAAAAAAAATTTAAAACAAAAAGAATGAGTCCTAAGCATGACTGAACCCCACTTATATAAGTTTTCTGAAAAAGATGACAGACTTTGATGTAAGACCTAAACCCATCAAAGACACAGAAGTGTCCATACCTGAGGAAGGGCTACAGGATTCCGCGTGTACAGACACACAATGGAATCGTGCAGTTATTGAAAAAGATGAAATCCTGGGCTGGAGAGACAGGTCAGAGGGAAGACACTTGCCTGGGTTCACCCCCCAGCACCCCGTCTGGTCTTCGGAGCTGCCTGAGTGACCCCTGGGTGCAGGGTCATGAGTGGGGCCTAGCACTGAAGGGTGCAGTGCTTAGCGAAGCAAGAAGGACAAACAGCACTGAGTGTCCTTCTGGGTGCCATACAGAGAAGCGCCCAAACAAACAAAACAACACGGTCACTGTCCTCCCGTTGTTCATCGATTTGCTTGAGCAGGCCCAGTAGCATTGTAAGACTTGTTGTTATTGTGTTTGGCATCTCGAATAAGTCACGGGGAGCTTGCCAGGCTTTGCC